GACGGTCCCTGCCCTCAAAGGACTCACAATCTAATGGGGGAGATAAGTAAACAAATACGTTTGTTTTCAAATAGAAAACAAAATAGGGTAAATAGGACACCTTTAAGAGAGAGAAGGCATTAGAATTAAAAGGGTTTGAAAAAGACTTCCTGTAGAAGGGGGATATTAGCTGGGAATTGAAGGAAGCCAGGAGAGGCAGGGTTGAGGAGGGAGAGCATTCCAGGCAGGGTGGACAGCCAGAGAAAACGCCCAGAGCTGAGAGATGGAGGGTCTTGTTCTTGGAACAGTAGTAAGGGCCGGGCCACTGGATCAAGTACTCAGCAGGGAAGGAGCTGCAAGAAGACTGGAAAGAAATGGAAGTGGGGTCGCCATGGAGCAGGGAGCAGGGGATGAGGAAGCTGCTGGGATCGGATGCGGGGCTGAGGGCCGCCTCGGAGGCTCCAGGGATGCCACGATGACAGGAGGTAGTTTTTGGTCGAAGAAAATTGAAATTACTGTTTCAGAAGCAGAAAAAAGGACTGGAAGAAATGCCATGAACGTGCAAGAAACTTACACAGTTTACCTCATTGAGACAAGATCAGTTGAATCTAGTGATGGCCAGAGTGTTCTTACAGACTCTGTTTGGAGATGGTATAGCAAATTTGAATTATTGAGAAACTATTTGCTAGCTTACTATCCACATATTGTTGTCCAATTAGTTTGGCATAAACTCTGCAAACAACATGGACCCTGATTTTGTGGAAAGATGAAGAATTGGTTTGGAAAACTTTCTCGGCTTCACATTCTGTCCTTTCTGAAGACAAAATTTTCTACTTGTTTTTAACACAGGAAAATAACTGGAAGGAGACAGTGAATGAAACAGGGTTCCAGCTAAAGGAGGTTTACTGATCTAAACACTATGATGATGAACTACAATCTGTCATCTCACACCTTCTTCGAGTCAGAGCCAGAGTGGCAGACCGACTCCATAGTGTCTATAAAGTTCATGGAAATTATGGCAGAGTTTTCAGTGAATGGAGTGCCATAGAAAAAGAAATGGGAGATGCACTACAGAGTGCAAGACATCATATGGATGTATATGCAGCTTCTATTGATGATATTTTAGAAGAAGAGGAGCATTGTGCAGATCAGCTGAAGGAATATCTTTTCTATGCAGAAGCATTAAGAGCGGTTTGTAGGAAACATGAACTAACGAAATGTGACTTGTAGATGGCTGCTCAGGATCTGGCATCCAAAAAGCAATAGTGCAAAGAGCTCGCATCAGGGACTGTGAGGACATTCTCCCTGAAAGGAATGACTAGTAAGCTGTTTGGTCAAGAAACTCCAGAGCAAAGAGAAGCCAGAATAAAAGTGCTAGAGGAACAAATAAATGAAGGACAAGAACAACTGAAGTCTAAAAATCTGGAAGGCAGAGAATTAGTGAAAGCTGCTTGGGTAGATATTGAATGCTTCAAAGAGCAAAAGAACCATGATTTAAAGGAGGCTCTCATAAACTATGCAGTTATGCAAATTAGTATGTGCAAAAAGGGAATTCAAGTTTGGACCAATGCTAAGGAATGCTTCAGCAAGATGTAATCCTGTAGAAATGAATTCCTCTTCAATTAAGTACCCCAGAACGGAAGCACAAGTACATAACTGAGACTTAAGTTGCTACCTGGTATACACAAAAATTTACAATTTAATCATTTGGGTAAATACAATGTTCTTTATGCTGATTGTAGTTGTTAGAATAGCACAAAAGGAGATATTTTAATGAAGATTAACATTGAAATTAAGACCTTACGGTGATCCTCCCAAAGTCATTTGGTATTGTTTGAGAGGATTCTGAACTAGTAAAAGTCCCATTGTTAGGTCATGTTTATATGTCCTTTCAGCCCATGCTCTCTCTATAAATGTGTAAAATTATTTCAAGAGTTTTTACTTAAGATTATATTCTTGAGGTTTACACAGAAAAGATGGCCAAGTGGAAACTCACCAGAGTTCTGTGGGGGTGATTTTTACTTGCCTTATAGTTGAGTTATTTGCTTTCACAAAAGCTCAGCAGAAACTTAGTGTGAAATCTAAGCTATTACACCCATACCTCCTCAGCACCCCTGTGAGAAATGTATGCATACACTAGAAAATGCCTTCAACTTTGTGCTTCGCCAGAATTTTGATATTGGACAAAAATTTTATACTGCCAACAAAGAAGACAATTCTTTAAATGAGTAGTAGAGTCCATTGTCTTGGATTAGTAGAAAGCCTTTTAATTGAATATGTGAAATATAATAAGGAAGTTTTCAAATCATTTTTTCAAACCTGAGTGATGAACCTATATTAACTTGATTTAGCTCTTGATACATGGTGTTTCAGGGTACAGATGTAACATTTCAGTGTATAAGATCTACATGTCAACAATATGTGTGGTATCTTCATTATTAACATCCTTCTTTTATACTGCTTGGCTGTAATTTTGTAAAGAAAAATGAATAAATTATATTGATTTTTTTTTTGTTTTCATGATACAGTATGTTCAAAAGCCAGGTATTTTTATTTTTTGCTAGCTTTGCAGAATCTTAAATGTGAACTTGCTGTTTCTAATTATATAAAATAACAATAATCCACTACTAGTCAGCATTTGACTTTTTTACATGTTGAAAATGTTGCAAAATATTGTGAAATTGCCAGACTTAATAAAAGAAAGAAGCATTGTGCTAATTTTCATATGAGATGCGTTAGTTCACCAAAATGATTCATAACTATTAATACCTCATTTTATTTATCTTGGAATATGTTCCTTAGATTTCATGCTCCTCCATCTTGTGGCCCTTTCCCCCACTCCTCCCCAGCTACTGATTTTTTTTTGTTTGTTTCAGTATTTCATTGTATATGCTTTTTTGGAACAAAATGTTTGTTTTAAAGATAAGGAGTCATATTGAAATGTGATTTAACGTTTTTTGTTTTATTATTCTTGGGTTTTATGAAAGGTAAAACTGGTACAAGGAAAGCTCATACGTTAAAAATGAACATTTTTTTTCAGAGATAAGACAACCTTTCCATTTGATATTTAAAAAAAGACAAACATTAGGCACAAACTAAAAAGTGACAGTGGCCAAATGTATAGCTTACCTTTCTCACTTCCATCTGCTTCTCTTTAATTTGGAAAAAAAAAAAAAGAACAAAACTGTTCTTTTTAGCTCCATTCCAGATAAGTAAAATAAAATTCATGTATATTTTTCAAATTTTCTATAAATAAATATATACCTATCTAACAGCAAAAAAAAAAAAAGCAAACTGGGGTTAGGTTATAAGTGCTTTGATTGACAAACAGGATTCTGTATTTGACCATGAAGGTGACAGGGAGACACTGGAATTTAGTGAGTAAGGGGGTGACATGGTCAGACCTGAACTTTAGGAAAACCACTTGGTGGATGAATGGAGGATGGGTTAGAGCAGGGGGAGACTCAAGGCAGGCAGACCCACCAACAGCTGGGCAGTGGGGCAAGCGGGAGGGGATGAGGGATGGCAGCATCAGAGAAAAGAAGGGGGCACAGGTCAGAGATGTCACAAAGGCAAAATCTACAGGCCTTGGCAACAGATTGGATGTGGTGGGTGAGAGCTAAATGTTGCAGATAACTCCAAGGTTAAAATGTGAGGGATTGGGAAGATAGTGTTGCTCTCTATAGCAATAGGGAAGTTAGAAAGGGAGAAGGTTTACTGGAAGAGATAATTAATTCTGTGTGGGACATGTTGAGTTTAAGATTCTACATCTAATTCAAGATGTCTGAAAGTCAGTTGGAGATGTAAAACTGAAGATCAGCAGAGAGGTTAAGGCAGGATAGGTAGAATCAGCAGCATAAAAATGGTAATTAAATGCATAAGAGTTGAAGAGATCAGCAAGTGAAGTAATATAAAGGAAGAAGAGAAGAGGGCCCAGAACAAAACCCTCTGGGACACCTGTGGTTAAAGGGTGTGATCTGAATGAGGATCCAGCAAAAAAGACTGGGGAGTGGCAGGACAGGAGGGGAACCAGGAGAGAGCAGATAACATCAGAAAACCTAGACAGGAAAGAAGATTAAAGAGAAGGTGATCAACAGTGTCAAAGCCTGCAGGGAGGTTGAGGAGAATGGGAAATGAGGAAAGTCCATTTAATTTGGCAATTAGGAGATCATTGGTAACTTTGGTGGAATAAGGTCACCAATTCTGGTTATTAAGGAGTTATCTTACTCAGTATTGTTGTGCCTCTTTTACCAAGCTGTTAATTTTCTTTGCATAATTTTGTTGCATTGTTCTCATTTCTTTTCCCGATTTTTCTCTACCACTCTTACTTGATTTTTTAAAATCATTTTTTGTTCTTTTGTGTCTTCATTTCTTCCAGGAAATCTAGTTGAATTAGTACCCAAGGTGTGTTTTTCTTTGAGGCTTTGTTTGTAGCAGTTTTGTAGTGATTCTCTTCCTTAATAGTGGTTTTAGATAAGCTATCACCAGGGAGGTGGTGTAGATTATGCTAGGTGAAGCTACACCCTGTCTTCTAGTGGTCAAAAGGCTAAAAGGTTAATGGACTTCTGGGAGCCAAGATGGTGGAGTATGCAATAAATCACTATAGCTCTTCCACATTCACCTCAAGACAACCAAATAATCATAAAATAGCACCCCAGAACAAATCCTGGAACAGTGGAGCCATGGAAAAATAGGGTGGAGAGGTCTTTTAGCTCAGGATACTTGGAGGATTGGCAAGAAAGGTCCATCTCACTCAGCTAAAAAGGGAGTGCATTCAAGGACAGGAGGTGTCCCAGCAAGCCAGCAGCAAGCCCCACCTCAGCAAATCAGTATGAGATCCTAAGCCCCAGTGTGGTAGAACAGGCAAATGCCAAAACCAGGACCCCACCATGATCACCCCACCCTACTCTCCCCTACTCTGGGCAGGCAGGCATCCTCCAGTGGCTGGCCCTCCATATGCTCAGTGTAGCCCCAGGGAAACACAGAAAACCCCCACCTGGCCTCAGTACATGCCAGATACCATGACTAGGGCCCCAGCTCTGCACCAGGTAAGTGGCCAGACCCCTACAGCCTCCAGCAGCACCAGCCATCCCCCACCACACACCCTCAACACAGCACCAGACACAAGAGTCCCCCATGGGCCTCAGAGCAACATCACCACAGCACCAGGTAAACAGCCAGGGCCTGCAGCCACTGGCACAAGAAGCCTGAGATAGAGCCCCTTCCAGTCTGGGAGCAGAGATCAAATTTAAAAGAAAAGGAAAAGGCCCCAAAAAGATGAGCAAAAAAATAACAACAATAACAACAAAAAGCATTTAACAATAGAAAGTTGTTTTGATGACAGGGAAGACCAAGACACAAACTCAGAAGAGGACAATAATGTCAAAACACCTATGGGCAAAATCCCAAAGAAAAATGGGAAATGGTCTCAAGCCCAGAAAGAGCTCATGGAAGAGTTCAAAAAGGAGCTTAAAAATCATATAAGAGAAATGGAAGAAAAATGGGGCAAAGAAATGAGAGTGATGCAAGAAAATTATGAAAAAAAAAGACTCAGTAGCTTGGAAAACTGCTTAAAATGTAGAATTGGCCAAATAGAAAAGGAGATACAAAAATCCACTGATGAAAGCAACTCGTTAAAGAGTACAATTGGCCAAATGGAAAAGAAAGTGAAAAAGCTAATTGAGGAAAACAACACCTTAAAAGATAGAATTGGACAAGTCGAAGCTAATGGATCTATCAGACATCTTGAATCAATCAAATTCAAAAGGATGAAAAAATGGAAGAAAATGTAATATAACTCATGGAAAAACAAATGACCTGGAAAATAGATCCAGGAGAGACAATATCATAATCATTGTACTACCTGAAAGCCATAATCAAAAGGAAGACCTGAACAGCATCTTTCAAGAAATTATCAGGGAAAACTGTCCTGATGTCCTGGAACCAGAGGGCAAAATAGGCATTGAAAGAATCCACCAATCACCTCAGGAAAGAGATTCCAACATAAACCCCCCAAGAAATAATATAGTTAAATTTCAGAACTAAGGGTCAAGGAAAAAAATACTACAAATATCCAGAAAGAAACAATTCAAATATCAGGGAACCACAATCAGGATCATGCAGGACTTGGCAGCTGTAGCGTTAAAGGATCAGAGGTCATAGAACACAAGATTCTGAAGGTCAAAGGATCTAGGACTACAACCAAGAATCACTTACTGAGCAAAATTAAGCAAAATACTTCAAAGGAAAAAAAATGGCCATTCAATGAAATAGAAGGATTTCAAGCCTTCATAAGAAGACCAGAAATAAACCAAAAATTTGACCTCCTATATCAAAATTCTATCACTGGCAGTACAAATAGAAGGAATATACATAGACACGGATATACATTGTATTTGAGGGAGTGACATAAAAAAAAATTAAAGAGTGAGAAAGAGGAGTACAATGGGTTCAGAAGGAAGGGAGAGGTAGAATGGGGCAAATTATCTCACATGAAGAGGTGAGACCTATTACAGTGGGGAGGAAGATGGGGGGGTGATGGACATCACTTGAACCTTACTGTCATCAGTATTGGCTCAAAGAGGGAATGATATACACAATCAGATGAATATAGAAATCTTTCTTACCTGACAGGGAAGTAGGTGGGAAGGAGATTAAGTAAAGGGGAAGGTGGAGACTGATGGAAAAGAGGGCAGATCAAGAGAGGTGATAGTAAGAAGCAAAACACTGGTGATGTGGGAAAGGGTGAGAGGAGAGAGAGGACAAACAGGAGGAAGAATAGGATGGAGGGAAATACACAGGTAGTAATCATAACTGTGAATGTGAATGGGATAAACTCTCCCATGAAACGGAAGTGAATAGGAGAGTGGATCAAAAACCAGAATCCTACAATATGTTGCTTACAAGAAACACACTTGAAGCAGAGAGACACACAGATTAAGTGTAAGAGGCTGGAACAGAATCTATTGTGCTTCAGATGAAGGAAAACAAGGCAGGGATAGCAATCCTGATCTTAGACAAAGTAAAAGCAAAAAAAGAGGAAGGAAACTATATCTTGCTAAAAAAAAAAAAAGGTACCAGAGAAAATGAAGCAATCAAATTAGAAGAGCAGGAATATTCTACCTGTCAGATCTATGGGGAGGGAAAGAATTCATGACTAAACAAGAGATAGAGAACATTATGAAATATAGAATAGATAATTTTGATCATATTCAATTGAAAAGCTTTTGTACAAACAAAACCAATGAAACCAAGATCAGAAGAAAAGCAGAAGGCTGGGAAACATTCTTTACAACAAGTGTCTCTGATAAAGCCCTCCTTTCTCAAATATATAGAGAACTGAGTCAAATTTATGAGAATATAAGCCATTCCCTAATTGATAAATGGTCAAAGGACACAAACAAGCAGTTTTCAGATGAAGAAATCAAAGCTATCTAAAAGCACATGAAGAAGTACTCTAAATCACTATTGATTAGAGAAATAAAAATTAAAACAACTTTAAGGTACCACCTCACACCAATAAGTTTGGCTAATATGACAAAAAAGGAAAATGGTAAATGTTGGTAAGGACGTGGGAAAATTGGGACACTAATGTACCATTTGTGGAGTTGAGAACTGATCCAATCATTCTGGAAAGCAATTTGGAACTATGCCCAAAGGGCAATCAAACTGTGCATGCCCTTTGATCCAGCAATACCACTACTAGGGCTGTATCCCAAAGAGATCATAAAAAAGGGAAAAGGACCTACGTGTGCAAAAATATTTATAGCAGTCCTATTCGTGGTGGCAAAGAATTGGAAACTGAGAGGATGACTGTAAGTTGGGGAATGGCTGAACAAGCTGTGGTATATGAATGTAATGGAATGTCATCATGCTGTAAGAAATGCTGAACAGGCACATTTCAGAAAAACCTGGAAAGGCTTGTACAAATTGATGCAAAGTGAAAAGAGTAGAAAATTGTACACAGTATCAACAATATTGTGTGATGATCAACTATGAATGACTCAGGTCTTCTCAGCAATACAATGATCAAAGACAAGTACAAAGGACTCATGAAGGAAAATGTTATCCATATCCAGATAAAACTGATGAATTCTAAATACAGATCTAAGCGTATTTTTTTCACTTACTTTATTCTTTCTTATGTTTTTTTTTCCCTTTTGATCTTTTTTTAAAATTTTATTAATTTATTTTGATCTATCAACAATCACTTCCATATGCTTTCGAGTTGAATTCTGGGTCAGAATTCTGGGTGGTGGTCCTGGGGCAAGAAGGAGAGCTGGGATGGTGGAGCTTGTAGTGGCTGTGAAGAGAGAATCCTCCTCACAGCTCCAAGGCAAAATGAAGAGTGCTTGTGGTCACTCATAGACCAGAGCACAGGCCAGAAAAGGAGTAAACACCTAGCCCTTGATCATACCACCTTGGAAGAACTGAATATTTACAGGTCTCTAAAAGTATCTCTGAAAACAGCTGTACAAAACCGCCATAGCTTGGGACAGTACATTCTCTATGCTGGAAGCAGACCCCCCCCTACCTTAACAAAGAGTTTATAACTCAAGTAATTGGATGGGATCATGAGCAAACTGTGCAAAAAAAAGTCAGACCATAGAATCTTCCTTTGGTGACAAAGATCAAAACATACAACCAGAAGGGAATAAACAATATATAAACATATATCACCTAGCTTGTTTGCCTCTTTTAACCGAACTTCCAGGTTGACACATGTTAACTCAAAGAAATGTGTAATCTTACTAATGAGGTTTGCATGCCCATGTACAATTGAGGGAGATCTGTTATCTAGCCAATAAACCTTACAAGATGTAGATGAACACCAAGAAGTCTGTTATCTGTAACACTGGCAGATTTCAAGAAAATCTGGTCTGTTATTGCTGTGACACTAACTAACCATCCAGGCAGACACTACCAATGAGTTTCCCATAGCAAAGAAATGGAAGGAGAGGTTGTTGCTAGCCTTGCATTCCAGACTCCCATCCAATCATATTGTTTCCCATCATCTATGGAACTTCAGACTTTGTAACCAGTCCTGTTGTTTTCCATCTGTGATACTGTTCTTTGTTCTCTGTTCTTTCCTTATACTTTCCAAAACTATATGAAGGCTAGTAAGCCCTATCTTGTGGTCTTTTGGCTGACTAAGGAGCCACGAGAACCATTTTATTGGTAAATGCTAGCCTTACCAATAAATGGAATGTATTCATAACTTTATGCCTCAGTTTACCTTAATTTCAATCATGACACTTCAACCCACCAGTTGGTCCTCTTTGAGAATGAAGGACAAACAACAAGAACCAGACCTCAAAGGGCTAGGGTACTGTCCATTGGATACATCTTAGGACACATTGGACCAAAGTAGAAATGATGATACTTAGGATGAGCATTAGGATAATTGATTGTAGGAGAACTACCTTCCCAAAGAGTCCAGCCTGGACCCTGAGAACGAATGCCATAGCTCTCTATCTGCTAGAATGCATCAAGCCAGGTGGCCCATTCCCCAAACACATCCATCAACTGCTCTACTGGTATCCCACAAAAGCAAGGTGCTTTTAGAGGTGCTGTTTAGGCCACAGACATCTCTGTCACTAAGTGGCAGATAATTCAGGAAAATGCAGTGTTCTAAAACCATGAGTGAGGTGTAGTGTAGGTTTCTTTCCTGGTCACATGTGGCCTTATTTGCTTCATTGACTCTAAGTGCTATGGTGGCTAAGTTGTGGATCATGCATTCTGCCTCATGTGACCTTTTCCAAGGTAGGTAGACCCTGGCAGACCAGTGGAATCTGATGTCTCTAACAGTCCCTCAAAGGTAGTCCTTGGGGAAGCTAGGTGGCGCAGTGTATAGAGCACCAGCCCTGGAGTCAGGAAGATCTGAGTTCAAATCGAGCCTCAGACACATAACACTTACAAGTTCTGTGACTCTGGGCAAGTCACTTAACCCCAATTGCCACCACCAGGAAAAAAAAATAAAGGTTGTGCTTATGGACCCTGTATAGGCCAAAGTATTTGGGATTCAGGGAATGGGCCCTGAGTATAGTTAATGGCCTGGCCATCCCACCTGGGTGCAATCCTCATTAGAGTCTACTGTGGGAGAGGCTATACTGCCACAGAGATGCATGGTTCCATTGGGCACTTGCCAGGATAAAGAACTTGCATGCATTTAATATTGAGGAAAGGGCACACCCATGCCCTTAGGGGAACCCCCTCAGTCTGGGACTGAGAAGTTAAGAGTTGGGAGAGACAATGGTTAAGTCTGACCCTGGTTCCCATCTGAGGAGGAGGCAGGAGTGGAGGGGAGGGGTCCACATTGGCCTGTGACAAAGCTTAAACTTTCCACAGTGCCATTTGTAAAGCAAGGATGACAAAAGCTGCTGAGCATTCACTGCCCTTAAGGTGGTGACTAATCATAGCCAATGCTCCTCTCCCCACCGCAGGGGAGTTGGTGGACTGCCAGCCATCAGGTTGAGGGTCTGAAATCTCCACAGCCAGACACCTCAGTTGGCAGGTGTAACCTCCAAGGATTTTTTTAAATTTTTGTTTGTGTTATCTTTCCTTTCTCTCTTCTACTGATGAAATGTTTAGAAAGATTTATCTCCCTCTAAGGACTGCTTTGCCTGAATCTCAAAAGTTTTGGTATGTTGTCTCATTTTTGTCACTTTGTTTGAGGAAATGATTTTGCTTCTCTGATTTAACCCTTGTCACACCAATTCTTTGGGATGACACTATTTAGTCTGCAAGTTTGAATCCTTTTTGATTGCATCACAGTGAGTAACAGATGGGTCTAATCTTTTTTGGTTTGGTTTCTGAGGTTTTCTTTTTTTCCCTCCTCTCAGTCTCTGTCTCTCCCTGCTCTCTGTCCCTATTTCGCTCTGTCTCCTAAGGCGGCTCTAACCTCCCTTCCCCCAACTCCCTTCCTCCCTCCTCCTACCCTTTCCAGAACTGCACCCTGGGCCTGGGGATGGGGGGTTGGAGATGGAGAAAGGAGATGAGGGGGTGGCAGGGGCTTCCTAAAGGACAAAGAGGTACACACACAAATGAAGAGAGACTGGAGAGTCCTCATCTCCCTCCTCATCCCTCCCGCTTCTTCATTACTTACTCTCCCTCCCTTTCCCTTTTCCTTATCGCTCACCTTGCCCCCAAACCTAGGAAATTCCCTTGGGTGTCTGGCTGGGGTATGTCTCTCCTCTCTCCCCATGTCTCTTGAGGGGGCTCCGCCCCCCCCATCTACATCCCCCTGCACATCCCATTTCCTTCCTCCCCTCCTCTTCCAGGCCCTATAGAGGCTGGACCCAGTGCAGACCGATCTCCTGACCCCTTCAGGCCTCAGAGGCTCTGCGGGGGGAAGGTGGGAGGGTTAACTGTTGGGAGGGTTAACTGTTAGTCAGTTGGTCACCCTCTCTCCTAAAGAGGCTTCTCCTAATTCCAACCCTCCTCCTCTCCTTCCCCTCCCCCAATCTCCTTCCTCCCCTCCCCTTGTTTTTCTATTCCCATTCCCTCCCCCATCTGCCTATTCCCATCCCTCTTCCCTATCTCCCTCTCTTAGCCCCTGCTTCTGCCTTGCCAGCACTTTCTCCCCCTCCCCTCCTCTCATTCCCTCCACCTACTCCTTCCCTCTCCTCCTGCCTCTCCCCTCTCTCTCCTCCCAATTCGCTCCCCGATCCCCACCGCCCTTTCTCTACTTCCCCCCGCCCCCGGAGGAGGCGGAAGAGGAAGAATTGGGGAGACGTAGTTCATTTCTGGCTGATCCGGTTCCGGGGTTTACCACCTCCCACCACGTTCTAGTTCCGGGGATTCCTGACATTCCCCGTGGCCGGGCCACATCCACCCCGGCAGCCGCCGCCACCCGCGCCGCCCCCTCCTCCTCTTCCTCCTCCTCATTCTACTCCGGCATGAGTTGGGGGACGCCATGCCCTGGGACTGAGGCCTACAGGGTGGGCACCTTCCACCCCTCAACGCCTTATGTCACAGGGCCCTGCCCCCGACCCCTCCTCCATAGTCACCACCTGCTATCCTTGACGGACAGATGGAGGTAAGCCCCACCTCCCTGTGTGACGTCATACACTCCCTCTACTAATTTGCATTTTCTTAATATTTTGTATATGTTGATATATAATTGCATGTTAAATCTTCCAATAGGGCATATGCTCCATAAGGCCAAAGGCTTTTTCATTTTTGCCTGGTAATCCCCTACACTTAGCATGAGGTCTAGCACATAATCAGAGCTTAACAAAGTCTTTTTGATCACTTAATTACCACTTAAAATGTGGCACAGCCTTTTGGTGACATCTAATGTCTAGAATGAGAACAGATAAGGAAGACTAACAGGCCCTGCCTTTTAAGGCCTACTCAGATATTAGACTTTATGTCCAACCACAGTATTACACTCTGACCCTTTTAAAAACCTCTGTTTACTGGATTTTAATCAGTTATGACTTAACACACAGGCTCCATGGGGGGACCCATTCCTCTGGTTCCATACAAAAGGAAAGGAAAAATCCAATCAAGGAAGAAATGACTGACTGGCTGCCATTTTAAATTCAGTGATATATAGACAACTCAATCTCAACCTGTTTAAAACAGAGCTCATTATCTTACCCCCAGACCCACCTTCTTCTGAACTTCCCTGTCAAGAACACCCCCATCCTCCCAGTCATGCAGGGTTACATCCTGGAAGCTATTTTCTGATAAGTGAGCTCTCACCTTATCTGGAACCAAGCCTCCCTTTCCTTTCCCAGCCAACAGCTCTAAACTGTGTTGCTGCTCCCTTCCCTTTCCAGGTTCCCTTTATGTATATTCCCTTCATCACTAGAAAAGGAAGCTCTTTGACAGCAGTGACTCTCTTGTCTTACTAGACTTGCTAGTCTTTCTCTCTGTCTCAGTCTCCCGTGTTTCTCACCCTCCCTGAGTCTCCATATTCAGTCAGCTGCCAAGCCCTGTCATTTCCACCTACACAAAACCTCTGGCATCTCCCCTCTTCTCTCCACTCCCACAACCTCATCACTTTTCATCTGGGATGCTGGAGTAGCCTCCTGTTGGGTCTCCCTGCCTCTACTCTCTCCCCTCGCCAATCCATCTTCTTCTCAGCTGCCACAGGGAAATTCCTAGAACCCATGTCTGATTGTGTCCATTTTCTGCTCTTCAATAGCTACCTGATACATGTAGGATCAAATACAAACTCCTGTATCGTATAAAACTTCATAACCTTTCTTTCTAGTTTTATCCAATATTATTTCCATTCATGTACTTTATAATTTGGGGCAGCTAATTGGCTCAGTGGATAGAGTGACAGGCCTGGAGTCAGGAAGACCTGAGTTCAAATCCAGCCTCAAACATTTATTTATTAGCAGTGTGATCCTATTTGTCTCAGTTTCCTCATCTGTAGAATGAGCCAGAGAAGGAAATGGCAAATCATTCCAGCATCTTTGCCAAGAAAATCCCAAATGGGGTCACAAACAAATCAGACACAACTGAAAACAACTGAACAGCAACTCTATAATTCGTGTAAATTGGCTTTATGCTGTGCATTACAGATAAAACTTCACATATAAAAATATCTTTCATTTACAAGCCTTTGCAAAGGCTGTCTTCCTGCCAGGTTTGCTTTCCATACTCACCTCTGCCTCTGAGTATCCTTAGTTTTCTCAGTGCCACCTCTTATATGAGACTTTTTTTATGGTTCCCCTCCCCCAGAGGTTGTATCTGTTCCCCTTCCCCCACCATTAACTATCATTTTGTTTATATTTTGTATATACTTGTACTCTCCGTATCCACCAATGGGATACAAACTCCTTGAAAATGGGTCATTTCATTTTACTCTATGTGTCTTCAGCACCTAGGACAGGGCCTGACATAATAAATGCTTTTTGACCAGTTGATTGCCATGGAGAAATATACTCTGGTACTTTGTTGACATCTAGTGGCTTTGTTGGATATTGCAGTTTACTGACATGTTTAGGCCAATATTACATGTTAGTAATAGGTTCTTGTGTTTCCCCTTATCCTGCCACTCCAGAATCACAGAATTTCAGAGCTGGAAAGGATTTCCAAGGCCACTAATCCAATCTAGATGAGAATCTCCTTTATAGTACCTCCTAACAGGTAGTCAAATAACTTTAGTTGGAAGACCACCATTGACCGGAAACCCACCACTTCTTATGATTCCATTCTACTTTGAATCTACAGAATCTTCCTCTGCTACTTTCACCAATTGTTCCTAGTTCTGTTTGCTAAGGCCAAGTTTAATCCTTCCTCCTGAGTGACACATTTCTAATATCAGAAGACATCTATCTTGTCCCTACCTCAGTCTTCTCTTCTCCAGACTAAATATCTCCACTGCCTTCAGTGGATTCTCCTTTGACATGAATTCACATGAACTTCACCATCCTGCCTGCCCTCCTCTGGATGTTCTACAGCTTATCAGTGATTTTCTGTGGGGCTCAGAACTCCACACAGGACTCCTTATTTGCTGTCTTTCATACCAGTCTTCTCTACAAGATCCCACATAATTGGTCATCCAGCATCCCAAAGTGATGAGCAGTTCACTAACTCATAAGCCAGCACATTCCATTTTCAGACAACTCTAATGATTAGAAATATCTCCCTTAAGTTAAAATAAAAATCTACCTACATATTGCTCCTAATTTTGCCTGCTGAGGCAAATTTGAAGAACAAATCTAATTCTTCCTCCATACAGTAGACATTCAAATATTTGAGATCAATCAATCAATCATTTATTAAGCACTAAGTATGTGCCAAGTCTTTCACTATGCATATGAGAATACAAGGGATCAAATGAAAACAGTCCAAGCCCTCAAGGAGATTATATTCTTTTGGGAAAGACTTATGGCACACATGTAAGTACATACAACATACATACAAAATGGATACATAAATATAAGATAATTTGAGGGGAAAGGCACTGGCATATGGAGGGGGGGGTGGATTCTGTAGACATTGGAATTTAAGCTCTGCCTTTAATGAAACTGGGATTCTCAGTGGCAGAGTAGAGGAAAGAGAGCATTCCAGGCAGGAGCGATGGCCTGTGCAGAATCAAGAAGGTGGGAGACACATCATGCGTGAGAAACAGCAAAGAAAGTATGGCTGGATCACAGAGAGCATGAAGGGGAGTAACATATGAGAGAGCTAGAAAGATCAATTTGGGCCTGGTTGTGACGTACTTTAAATATCAAACAAAGGAACTTTTATTTTAACCCACAGACAATGGGAGCCACTGAAGTTTATGGAATGGGGGAGTGATGTGGTCAGAACTGCAAGTTAGGAAAATCACTTCGGTAGTGTAGGTTTAATACTGGAAGCAAAGAGACACCCATCGGTCTTTTAACATTTAAGGAAAGGAAATTTACTTAACCATGATAGAGGAATCATATTAAACATACTTTGTTTCAAATTCTTTGCTATCACAAAAATGCTGGTATAAATATTTCAGTGTATATTAAGACTTCATATCAATTACCTCCTTGAGGTATTAGTCTCCTAAAGGAATCCCTGGGTCAAAGGGTATGGATATTTCAGTCACTTTATTAGCATAATTCCAAAATGGTTGTACTGATTCATAGCTCCACCAAAAATGCTATAGTGTGCCTAAATTCCACAGTTCTGCCAACACTGACTATTGCTATCTTTTATCATCTTTGCTAATTTGCAGGGCAGAAGGCGAAACTTCAGGGTGGTTTTGATTTGTATTTTTCTCCTTATTAGTGATTTGGAGTGTTGTTGAGGTTGTTAATAATTTCCAATTCTTGTCAGAGCATTTGGTCATATACTTTGACCCCTTATCTATTGAGAAATACTTATTGGTGTTACATATCCTATTGCCATACATACTCACATATAGGGCAGCTAGGTAGCATGGTGGATAGAGCACTGGGTTTGGAATCAGGAAGACTCTTCTTCCTGAGTTTAAATCTGGCTTCAGACACTTACTAGCTGTGTGATCCTGAGTAAGTCACTCAACCCTGTTTGCCTTAATTCCTCATCTATAAATTGACCTGGAGAAGGAAATGGCAAACCACTCCAGTATCTTTGCAAAAAAATCCCAAATGGGATCATAAAGATTTAGACATGACTGAAAAATGACTGAATACATATATATTGATAAATTTACATACATATGAGTGAGTTAATTGATTATATAGTTTAGATGCCAAATTTTTGTCAGAGAAATTTGATACCAATATTTTTTTTTCAAATCAACCACTTCCCTTCTTACTCTAGGTGGATTAATTTTGTCTGTACAGAAACTTTTCAGTTTCATTTATTCAGGTAATTTGTTTTATCTTTTGTGATTACAACAAATTATCTCTCTTCCTAGTTTGGTTGATAATATATCTCGTATCCATAATTGTATGAGGTAGATGGTCTGCTTCTCTTTAATTTTTTTGTAGTGTGATATATAACATTAAGTTCATGTACCTATATAGAATGTATTGTGGATTGTAGTAGATCTAAGCCTAATTTCTGCCATACTTCCTTGCAGTTTTCCTAGAATTTTTCATCAAATAGAGAGTTCTTTCTGAAGTAATTTATGCTTTCTGATTTGCTAAACACTGGATTATTGAGTTTCATGGATTCAGTATTTGTACTAATTGGGACCTAAGGTGTATTGTTATTCCTGTTGTGTTGGCATGGCCCAGCCATGAGCACTAAATATTCTTCCAGCTATTTTAGTTTGTTCTTTATCTCGTTAAGGGACATTTTGTAATTGAATCTATATGCCTTTGTGTGCTTTAATAGTTTGGTTCCTAGACATTTTATTCATTTTTAGTTATCTGGGATTTTATTATAGACTTTGCTTTGGTTATTGTTATATAGAAATGCTATTGATGTTTGTGTTTATTTTGCAGCCTGATATGTTTCTGAAGCTACTAATTGTCTCAATTAGTATCTCTGCTGATTTCCTAGGATTTTCCAAGTAAACTTTAATATCATCAGCAAATATGCATATTTTTATTTCTTCTTGACCTATATTTATTCTTTTAATTTCTTTCTCTTGCCTTATTGTTAACAATAGCATTTCCAGAACTAATGGTATTAGTGACAGCAGGCATCCTGGGTTTACTACCATATTTATTGGGAAAGGTTCTAGTACATCCCCATTGCATATGATGCTTGCTTTTAGTTTGAGGTAGAGGTTCTTTAAACAAATATGGTTGTGTGCTTTCTTTCTTTCTTTCTTTCTTTTTTTTTTTTTGAGAATGACTTGTGAAATATGGATGCTAATTGTTCTTGAAAAGTTTAATAGAATTATCTTGTGAATTCATCAGGAACAGGAGTTTTTCCATTGTTACCTTCTTTAGAGATGGATCGATTTTGTTTTCTGAGATCGGTAAGTCCCTATTTGGTCTCTGGTTTTTTTTTATGTTTTTGAAGATATTACTTTTCTTTTATATGCTCTTTTTTGTTAGCATATAACTCTTTAGAATAATTTCTGATTTTTTTTTCTTTCTTCTAGCTTTGTTGTGATTTTACTCTGCTCATTTGTAGTTGTTTGTCCTTTGTTGTCCAAGAGGGCCATGATATCAGCTTGATGATGCCATGACATGCAAGTGAATTGGATTTAAGTGAGGGAGGGCTGTGCAAAGTCACCAGCCTCATTTTCTCCTCCAAAGCCATCTGGGTCCAGTGGCCAGATATAGATCAGGATGACTGGAGATGGCCCTCAGTAACCTGGATAATAGTATAGATGACAGTAGTTATCAAAAACTGGCTGGGATAGCTAACACCTGGGATAACAAGGTCAGGATCCAATCAGATTGATTGGCCTGAGCCCTAATCATTTGGTATGTTGTTGATTTGATTTTCTGTGCTGTCTTCTTATTAATCAAATTGGCTAAAAGTCTATTAAGTTTATTGGTCTTTTCCAAGAAGTAGCTTTTAATTTTGTTTATCATTTCTGTAGGAGTTTTTGGTTTCTAGTTTTTCTGTTTCTACTGTATTTTTAATATCTTATCTTTTTTTTTTTTTTGTGAGGCAATTGGGGTTAAGTGACTTGCCCAGGGTCACAAGGCTAGTAAGTATCAAGTGTCTCGTCAGGTCCTCCTGACTTGAGGGCCGGTACTCTATTAATTGTGCCACCTAGCTGCCCCAATATCTTATCTTTTATGCTATTTTTAGGTTTATTTGTTGATTTCTTATTTCTTTTCCAATAAATATTCAGTTCATTAATCCTCTTTGTTTTCTTTCCTGTTAATGTATGTTTGTAGGTATGTGATTTTTCCCCTGAGGACTACTCTGTCTGTATCCCAGAAGTATTGGTATGTTGTTTCATCACTGTCATTTTCTTTCGTATCATTATGGTTCCTGTGATATGTTCTTTGACATGCTTGTTATTTAGGATTTCACCATTGTCTCCATTCGAGTCTCTGTCTCTTGCCTGTAATCCCTGAACTGATTATTAGTTTTATTGCTATGGTCTGTAAATTATCTGTTTACTGTTTCTGCCTTTTTATATTTATTTTCATTATCTCTCAGCCTTCATACATGACATAATTTTGTAAAAATTTCATGGTATGCAGAGATTTAGTTTTTGTTTTCTTTTTGAGGACAGGGGGAAAAGAGAGTGAGTACTCTTTTGGATATGGTGGAGTAGAGAAGTCTGGGGCCCCTCCGTTTGACGAAGTCCAGTCACTTTAGTGACGTGAGACAGGAAGACAGCACTGGAAAAAAAGATTGAGAATGTTCTGCATTGAGATGACAGTTGTACCCATGAGAGTTGACATCTTTCCTAAGGGCAGCTTCTTGAGCACTACAGCAAGAGGACTACAAGGACCTGTGAGTTTGCCACGTGTGCTCTTCACACTTGAGCCCCTTTTTCCCCAGAGTCTGGATATACTGGAGAGACAGTGTGTTACAAATTCGGGGGTTGGGAAAGTTGGGGTGGATTTTGATAGCAACTGTTTCAAGTCTGCCACCATAATCAACACACTTTTTAAAAATCTAAACAATTGAGGCTGACTAATTGATAGCAATTGATGAAAAATGTCCAAAAACTTGTGTGCCATATAATGTCTGTGGACCTCCCACCTCCACGAAGGGATGAGTTAGGACTGTCTTCTCATAGATTAGAGTCATGCTTGATCTTTATCATAGTTATATTACTTTTTGATACTTTTGGTGTGTTAGGTTTTTTCCATTTACATTATTGTAATCATTTTATCTATTGTTTTCTTGGCTCTGCTGACTTCACTCTGCATCAATTCATACAGATCTTTCAGTGCTTCTCTGTACGCATCACATACATTATTTTATATAGTACGTGAATCTTCCATTACATTCAAGTATCACAATTTGTTTAGCCATTCCACAATCGATGGGCTTCTATTTTGTTTCCAGTTCTTTGCTACCATAAAAAGTACTGCTATAAAGATTTTGGTGTATATGAGTACTTTCTTCTTATCCACGGCTTCCTTGGGGTATATGCCCAGAAATGGAATGTCTGGTTCAAATGGAATGGGCATCTTAGTCACATCACTTACATCATTCCAAATTATTTTCCAAAATGTTTGTATTATTTTAGATCTCCACCAATGATGTATTGGTTGCTTATCCTTCCACAAGCCCTTCAATATTGACTTGCCTTTTTTTGAGTCATCTTTGTCAATGTGTGACATGAAACTTTAGGATTATTTTGATATATATTATTCTTATGATTGGGGTGTATGGGGTGTTAAGGAAGGACTAGCACCTCTGGTGCGAGGCCTGCTGAGCCCTTTTATAGGCTGCTCTCCACCTTTGGTGTCCACCTTCACCCATCTCTCACATGTGGCTCCAGGAAGCTTTAGCATGTGCAGTGGCCACACTCTAGTAAAACTGTTTCAGCAGACAAGCCAAACCAGGTTGATGGACCTCCAGCCTGTCGGTGAGTTAGAGGAATGTCTACTCCAAGGATGTAAAGACTTCTGGTATAATGGGCAGATGAGAACAATTTGTTCTAAAAGCCATAAAGGCAGCTAATGCAGGCACTGTGGAGCACCTAGAACTTGGTCAGACATCAAAGATACTAAGGTCATAATATATCCTGGGCCATCACCAGTCATTTTGACTTTTGTCCTGCCATTTGATTTTGATGATTTTGGAAGAGTGAGGCTGATGACTTTGTGCAAATCTACCTCATTTAAATCCAATTCATGGGCAAGTCAAGACATCACCTGTGATGTCATTGGTCCTTTTCAAAAATGAAGGACAAGATCTATAAAATACAGATAAAGGGATGGAGTCAAGATGGTGGAGAAAAGTCAGGGACTCTCCTGAGCTCTCCCTAGAACTCCTCAGAACAACTTTAAATAATGCCTCAAAACAAACTCTAAAGTGACCAAACCCAAAAAAGGCTGGATGAAAAAATTTTCGAGCTGAAGACAGCTTAGGAGGTCAGCAGGAAATGTCTGTTGCACCAGTGTAAGAGTAGAGCCTAGTACAGCAAACCAGCAGTAGGCCTTGAGGGCAACTGAATCAATGGTGGCAGTGGTGGTATTTGGACCTCTCAGCCCACATAAGGTAAGGGGGCCAAAAAGGAGATTACAGACATCCCTTTTGTTGGCACCAGTGGCAGGACTCTGTTGCATTGCCTCTACTTGGATCTGAGTACCAGTTCAGGGTCTCAGTTCCAGGGAGAAGAGAAGCACTAGCATACTAGAGCTTGTGGCAACATGGGAGCTGGGACCCTGTTCACAGTTCCAGGGTGGAAAAGAGTGCTTGTGGTCACTCACAGATGAGAGCACAGGCCAGGAGAGCAGTAAACACCTCTTCTGAGATCATACCAACTCAGAAAAACCAAAAACTTACAGGTCCCCAGAATTTTCTCTGCACAAAAAATCTGAGGATTGGGACAGTGCTTCCTCCATTCCAGAAGCAGAGCCCCACTTTAGCATTGAGTTAAAAGTCAAGAAATAGGTTAGAAAAATGAGCAAACAGCAGAAAAAGATCCTGACTGTAGAAGGTTACTATGGTGACAGGGAAAATCAAAACAAACTCAGAAGAAGACAAAGCCAAAACTGCTACATACAAAGCCAAGGAGAGAGGAGCCAGATTTCATTGGACACCTTGACTATCCCATCTCATCCCAATTACAACTCTGGCAAATGTTAGGACACTCTGCCATAGGGACTTTCCCAACTGAGACGCTTTTTATTATCCTTACACAAAGAAGGCAGGGAGCCAGGGAATAGGTGATTGATCCTAAGGACCTAAGAGTTTTGGCTGAAACTCTCCTACCTCAAGAGCAATCTGTGTTATGTCAAAAATGTCTCAGGTCAATATGCAGGAACTGGCCAAGTCCCTGGATGTTTACCTCAAGATCTAATTCTAAGGAATAGTTCCCCAAGTGGGTCTGGGTTGAAACAAATCCCAGAACAATCTGTTAGGGAAGTTCCTTGTCCTTTGGCTTGGGCTGTGGATAGGGAAGATCTTATACGTTAACCCGTCAGTCGGCCTCTAGACCTGACCTATCCATGGATTGGGAACTTGATCTCCTATGGGGCATACACAGTCATCACCCATACAGAGATAGAGAACAAATCAATAGAAGGGCTTCACTTGTAAAAAAGAAAAAGCTTATAACCTTGCTGAAATGAAAGAAGTCAAGCAGTTTACTATACAAGGTTCACAGAGCAATAACATCAATAATAATAATACAACAGGAATAGCTGCATAAAAATATTTATGTAAAGTATCCCATATAGACAGAGAGGAGAACAATTAGTAGGTACATACATATAGACACTTGTTCTATTAAGTAGAGTAGCACAGTGAGTACAATTATCATAAGCTATATGCAAGAAATTTGTAAGATTATCACTACTTAAACATGAATAGGTGGAAGGGCCAATTTGGGCCCTCCCTTCTAGGGATATTAAAATGCTCCCAAAATGTTGGCTTTCATTATATGTCACATTGTAGAATGGATTTCCTGTGGAAAAGCAGGGAATATTAAATAATGTTTTTTGATCAGGTAATATTATTAATGGGGAAGAAGCATATCTGGAGGAAGTGTATGGTTATGGCATTTGTTCTGCTGTCTTATTCAGTCCATGTCAAAAGGGAGGTTTCTTTCTGGATTGAGGATGTTCCTGGCAAACCCAACAGTCTCATGGCAGTGGTCGCCACTGCTTCTCCCAATTGCACCAGTGTATTCTTCTCCCATTGTGCCATTACTCTTCCAATAAGTATAAGATAAACTGTAAGACACTATTCACGTAAAAACAATTGTGTTAGGGGATAATGATACAATTTGTCATGTGCAGCAAATGCCACTACCACATTACCATCCTTGCCTTCTGCCACTATCTCAGCAGCAGGAGGTATATCAGAGGCATATCTATTAACCCATACTTTAGATCCTACTCTTAAATCAGTACTTCTGAATCCTCCGTACCTGGGTGTAATTGAAGGTGGTTCTGTTCCTAGTTCCCATTGTTCTTTGAAATAGGTGGAAGTTACTAATTGTACAACTCTAGATCTCATAGAGCAAACCACTGGTTCTGGGCCAAGGTTTTGCATTGTAACTTTTACTGGAATAAGGGGCACAGAGAAATACTTCCTAAGGCTAAACAAAAGATTTTCTTCCTCCTAGTAATGAAACTGAGGCCCAGAATTTCATAGGATTTTTTGGATATTGGAGAACACATATTCCTCATGTAGGACAAATATTGCACCCACTTTATAAGATGACTAGGAAGAAATATGAATTCAATTAGGGCAAGGAGGAAGAAAAGGCATTTGAAGAAGCCAGAGCTGCAATCCAAACTGCGTTAGATTCATGGCCTATGGAAAATGGCCTTGTAGAATTACAAGTATCTGTCCAAGAGGGATACGCTGACTGGAGCCTATGGCAAAAACAACAGGGCAGGAATGTTCCCTTAGGATTCTGGTCAAGAAAACTGCCCTCTGCTGGGGAAAATTATTCCCCTTTTGAACAACAACTTTTAGCTGCATATTGGGCATTGGTAGAGTTAGAAAAATTGACAATTGATCATGAAGTGGTCTTATGACCCAAAATCCCTATAATGCATTGGATAGTGAGCACCCCTGCCTCTCATAAAATAGGGCATGCCCAAGAAGCTAGTATTATTAAGTGGAAATGGTATATTCAGAATGGAGCAAAGACTGGGAAGGCAGGAATTTCTACATTACGTGAAAAAGTTTCAGAATTGAGAATGGCACAAAATGAGATACCACCGGGAAAAGCTACGAGGAATTAACTGGTAGAGTGGGGACAGGGATATGACAGGTTAAATCCTGAAGGGAAAAGGCATGCATGGTTCACTGGTGGATCGGCTAAATATGTAGGACAAGTAAGACATTGGAAAGCAATGGCATATAACCCCACTATGGGGGTTACTTTGGAAAACACAGGACAGGGGGGAAGTAGCCAGTTAGCTGAGCTAATACCTATGCATTCAGCTATAAAGAATGAGGAAGGTTTGAAGTCAGGAGGACCTGAGTTCAAATCTGGCCTCAGACCAGACACTTCACACTTACTAGCTGTGTGACCCTGGGCAAGTCACTTAACCCCAGTTGCCAAAAAAAAAAAAAAGAGCAAGGGAAAGAATGCCATGTATTTACAGATTCCTGGGCTGTGGCTAATGGACTAATTACTTGAATGCCCATATGGAATGAAAATGGTTGGCAAATCCATGGGCAGGATATATGAGGAAAAGAATTGTGGAAGGATATATAGGATTGGCCTCATAATACTAACATTTCAGTTTTTCATGTAGATGCACATACTTCAGTGAACACCCTGGAATGTGAGTATAATGCACATGTGGATCATCTAGCCAAAATAGCAGCAATACAGCAAGAAGATCAAGAATATTATTCATTAACACAGTGGGCACATCGACAAGGGGGACACCTCAGAGTCCAAGCCTTACACAGGTGGGCCTTGGACAGGGGAATTTCCCTCCCAATATCTCTATTAAAACTAATACAATCTGAGTGTTCCATATGCCAAATGGAAAAGGAGAGACCAATTCCCTGCACCATTAGAGGTGAACTAGCCCGAGGAAGGTTGCCTGCCCAGATTTGGCAAATAGATTATGTTGTTCCCTTACCAATGAACAGAGGTTGCAGGTATATTTGTACCTGGGTAGATACTTTGGAGTATTGGTGGCATGTCCATATAAGAATGCCACTCAGAAAAATACTTGTAGGACTATAGATATCATTACTTTATATTATAGATCCCCTCTACAAATACAAAGTGACAATGGAACACATTTTAAGGGAAAAGATTATCATATACCTTATTATCCCTCAGCAGCGGGATTAATTGAAAGGATGAAGGGGTTATTAAAAGAGAAACTTAAGAC